AGTTAGGGTTGGAGTGTTTTTTCAAATCAGTTAATAAAAGATCTTTGGTTTGTGAGATGATATTGTTGATAATTGTAACTCAGACCGGGCACTATAAATTTGGGCAAAACTAAAAAATTTTTAATTCTGCCCGAAAATTAAATTTCGCCAGAGTTAACATTAGTTATTTTAACCAGTTAAAAAAAATCTTTAACGGTTAATAAGATAAACGTCTTAAGGTATGTATTTTTTTATTTTTTATTTTTTTTTTAGTTTTCAATTTTTCTATTTACCTTTTTACTTTTTGGTTCAATCGCTTTAAGCTGTACTATTAATATTTTTATAAAGATGCAATGAATCACATAATTTATTAGCGTAACATTTGTAAATCAATTCAAATTTAAGTTTATAATATAATACAGTAAATTAAAGTTTACAATCAAATTATAATCTTTTTATAAATGAAATAACAAATTATTTCTTTATTATTTTATTTATATAACAAATTAAATCGAAAGTAAAAAACTAAGCAGTTTCTTGAGGTGGAAACATAGGAAAATATAAACTATTTCGTTTTAAAAATAACATTTGATTTACTAAATCAGGAGCTAATCGCGTTCTTTTTGCTGAGATACAATTACCTGCATCTGAAAATAATCGTTCACTAGGAACCGATGTAGCAAAAAATCGAAAGATATTTGCACGCTAATTGTGATAAAATAGGATAGTTTGCTTTATGTTCTTGCCACCAAATTAAGGGATCAACACTTTTATGTACAATGGGATAACGAAAGTATCGTGTAAATTCATCATTATCTTGTATTAAGATTTCTGATTGATTATCAGCCCACATTTTTGCAAATACATCATTATCATCATTAAAATCTGCTATTGCTGGAATTCTTTCTTCAATATTTGTTGAAATAATATCTTGTTTAAGTTTATCATACAAATTTTTTAATATATAGGGCCTTTGCAATAGAAAGGGGGAAACTGCCGGGAAAAATTAATTTTACTTTATATGCCAAATATGATTTTTATGCT